TTAGCTTTTAAGATACTCTTTATTAATTTTTGACTTTATTATGTGTCTTGGTATGGACTGCTTTATGTTCATATTGTTTGAAGCTCTGTGGTTCCTGGAGCTGGATGCCTGATCCCTCCTGTTAGGGAAATTTTCTTCAAATAAATTTTTTGCCACTTTCTTTTTCTCTCTTTTTGGATCTCTTAATGCAAATATTAGTACACCTGATGTTGTTGCCAAGATCGCTTAACATATCCTCATTTTTAAACTTCTTTTTTCTTGCTGTTCAGGTTGTGTTCTTTCCATTATCCTGTGTTCCACATCACTATATGTTTTTCTGCATCCTCTAATCTGCTCTTGATTCCCTCTAGCATATTTTTCATTTGTTATTGTATTCTTCAGCTCTGAATGGTTTTTGTATGTTCTTTTTGTTGTTCTCACAGAGTTAATTCATTCTTCTCTCCAGTCTAGTGAGTATCTTTATGACCATTACTTTGAACTCTTTATCAGATAGATTGTTTATTTCTGTTTCATTTAGTATTTTTTGGTTTTTTGCCTTGTTCTTTTGTTTGGAGCATAATCTTATTTTGTCTGTCTCTGTTTCTGTGCTTTAAGGAAGTGAGCTATGTTTTCTGGTCTTGAAGTAGTGGCCTTATGTAGAAGGCATCCTGTAGGGCCCTTCCTACTGTGACTGGGTCACAATGCTGTGGAAGTGTTGGTGAATGGGGTTGGCTTCCCCTTCGCCAGGGCAAGAGTTGCTCTCAAGGAGTGCTGGTCCTGGCTGGGGCTGCCTGCCAGGTGTAGTGGGGCGGTAGTTGCTTTTGGGAAAATGCCAGTCCTGACTGCATTTAGGTGGAGTTAAGCCCCACTGAGTTGCAGAGGTCCCAGAGTTAAGCCCTGCTAGTTGTTAGGAGGCTCACCTTCCTGGTGCAGGTCCCCAGGGCTGGGGGTGTCCCATATGGGACTTGATCCCTTTGTTCCTCATGGATGACCTTCATACCTATACTATCCCTCCTGCTTGTGGGTTCCCACTGTGTCTCTGTTTTCTGTCATTTTCACTATGTCACTTTCAGAGAGTTGCATTATATGTAGGTCATGCCTTGATTTGTCTGTAAGAAGAGGTGAGCTCAGGATCCTCCCCCATACCATTTTCCTGAAATATCTTTATAGAACTTTTTGATAACCCTTTTTATTTCTGTAGGATAGGTGTTAATTTTCATTCCTACTTTCCATTCTAACTTTAGAAGTTTGAGAACTATTTTGTTTTTATTAGTGTAGCTGAAGGTTTCTCAATTTTGTTGCTTTTTCCAAAGACCCAACTTTTGCTTTGATTGACTTTTTCTCTTCTCTATTCTTTATCATATTTATTTCTCCTCTAATCCTTATTATTGCCTTCATTCTGCTGCCTTTGGGTTTAGATTGCCTTTCTTTTTCCAGGTCCTTAAGGCATAAAGTTAGGGTATTGATTTGAAAATTATTTTGGTATATAATTTTATATAGTTATATCATACTTTAAAGATCCTTCACAGATCTCTGCTTTTAGTTGGAATGTTTAGTGCATTTATAAAGAAATTACTGATAGGGACTTCTGTCATTCTACAACTTGTTTTCTATATGTGATATATATTTACTCAATTCTTCCATTACTACTCTGTGGTTTATATTAAATTTATAACAGTCTAGTTGGAATAGCAGCTTACATTCAACAATATACAAGAACTGCTCCTCTACAATTCTAGCCATTTGTTTTTTATGAGATTATTGTCAAATTACATTTCATGCACTGTGTCTGATTTGTGTGTTCTGTTGAGTCCCTCTAGCAAATTTTTCAATTATGGTTTTTCAGTTTTAGAATTGGTATTTGACTCCTTTTATAATTTCTATTTCTTCGTTGATATTTTCTATTTGGTGATGCATTGTTCATTTGTTTCCTTCAGTTCCTTTGTCTATGGTTTTCTTTAGTTCTTTGAATACATTAAAGATTGTTAAAGTTTTTAGCAAGCGAATTTCTGCTTTAAGGACAGTGTTAACCTCTTTCCTCTTTCTTTGTATGCTTTCTAGTTTCTTTGTATGCTTTTTTTCAAACTGGTCATTCTAAATATTCTAATGTAGCAACTCTGGAAATTGGATTCTGCTCCCTCTCTAGAATGTTTTGTTGCTTGATCTAAGTTGTAGTTATTTAGTGAATTTTCAAAGCTATTTTTATAAAAATAGTGTTCCTTGTCATGTGTGGTCTCTGAAGTTTGTATTTCATTAGTGGTCAGCTAGCGGTTTGACAGAGCTGTCCTTAAGTGCCTGCAGACAAAAGAAAGAAAAAGAAATAAAAGAAACTAGTTCCCTGGGCTTTGCAGATTGACTCTGTTGGGTCACGCCATCAGTACTTATCCAGGGATTTAGAACTATGCTCTAGCCTTCACAAGTCTTACTTGGGCTGGGTGTAAACATCATTAAGAAGTAAAAGCCTAGGGTCTTCTCAGATCTTTTCTGAGGATGTATACTGATCTGGGTTTTGGCATGTGGCAGCTTTTCAAAGCCTTTATTCCCCAAAGTACTGCACTCTCCAGCTCTTCCTTTCATTCAGGCCTCAGCCATGTGTCTATTGTCTGTCACAACTCTTAACTCTTGCCTTAGGCAGGACAAGTTCATTTCCTTTTCAGTATTTTGGAGAAACACCCTCTTGTAGCAACACCCTGAGAAACTTCTGAGTTAGGTGAAACAAAGGTGAACCCCTTGCTTGAATTCTCCCAGTAGCCCCCAGGTCAAAATAAACACTATTCCTTGGGAACAGGAGCATTCTGCCTCCTGTAGAACCAGGTCCCTATACCAGTTACAGGCTGCAATTTTTCATCCTCCTCCACTACTGACCGGGGAGGAGGATGAAGAAAGACTAATATAAATGCTATTAAGCAATCCATCTGAGTTTCAGTCATTTTTTGTTTAAGCTTTCATTTGATTTATATTACATTATCTTCCAGACTTTGAACAATATTGAGTGACAGTTTCTGCCAGTCTTTCTAGTGTTTCTGTGGAATGGATGGGTCCTTAGAGTTCCTCATTCTGCCATTTTCATTGCCTATAAGCATGCATAATTTTTAGTGGAAACAGACACACCAACATTTGGCTGAATGTGACCTAATTTTTCCTATTATAGTCTGAATGTGTGATGCTTTATTAAAACTTAGTGAATACTTACACTGTTAGTTATATGATAAAAACATTGCATATATATTTCAGAGATAAGTAAGTTAAAAAAAAGGAGTATAGAAAAATTCATAAATGACACATACTCATGAATCGTATAAGGGAATTGAGGGGCTAGCATGAACACACTTGTACCCTTGTAGTGTGACTACTATGCTCACCCTTTTCCCACTATTAGAAAAAATACTATCAGAACAATAATTAGTTTGACCCAATACAGGTTCTTGCTAGAGTATGAAAATCCTCTTGTTTTAATATTTTAAATGGAATGTTAATGAGCTCTTAGGAACACTGTCTCCAAAAGTCCATTCAAATATTTTGTTGCTAGATGCTCTAGTTAATGTTTGCCTTTATTACCAGTACTTCTTAAAACACCATGTTTACTGTCTTTGATCTCAAAATAATATGTCATGCCTTATTTAGAAATAACTACTCCCTTCATGTACCCTTAGGGAGGTTCTGTGGTTACAAGATCTAATCTCCCCAAATCACCATGCTTGCTGAATTGTTAATTGACAAGGGATATTACTTTATACACAAAAGAAAATTATAGTAAACACACAACACTATTGGGCTTACTCATGTGGATATCTGATGCAAGGAACAGTATGCTGAGCAAAATGCAACATTTTATTCATCAGATGTTGTTAGAAATTAAACTCCTTTAGATGGAATTTTATGTTAAGATTTTCTCCTCTAAGTAGGAAAGCAATTCTTTTTATTCTAACTGAAGACCATTCAACATATAATCAGTATTTAAGGGAGCCTTCAACACAGTGAATCTGATTGAAAAGTGACATTGGAGGATACAGCATACCAGGTAAGAATTTTTCAATTTAATTTGTTTGGCAAAGGTAAAGATAGCCTATATTACATATGTGATTTTCCATATGCTAAATTCTGAAAGGAAACTACATTTGAACCACTCTTTGTAGTTTTGCCTATAGCACTTTCCAGAACAACTTGTCTTGAGGCAGTTTATTTCCCTCTAGAATCACTTCCCTAATGCAACAAGTCTATAGAAAAGTGACAGCTCTCTAGCTATAAAATGCTAAAAGACTGTTTTTGTTGTAGGCATATAATTACTGAGAGGAAATTATATAATATAGGCTATAAAACTTTTACTAATCTGGAATAGGGACGTTCTCCTTACCTTGGTCATTGTCTGACTTTGGTTGTGACTGAACACTATATTAAAGCTTTATAGACAAACTAAATGTATGTTGTTTAATAACAACTTTGAGCCTTAAGGGGGACAAACAAAAATAATTATAATAAAGATATGTTTACATGTAAAATTTGGTCTCAGACTCCAATTGTAATACCTGTTCTGAATGAACCTTAGAAAATGTAAAAATACTCAATGGATTTACATTTACAGGTCAAGTGCTCCCTAGGGATAGGCATTAAACAAATGATCATGATCACTTAATGCTTTTCCATAAATGTCATTCCAGTACTAAATTTATCACACTTTGAACAGGAACTAGGGGGGACTTAATGTGCTTTTTAATAATAGATTTGGGAATATGTGGTAAGGTGAACATAGTTCTGAGTTATTATGCAATTTTCACTGAATATCCTGTTTTGACAAGATAACTTATTGCTAGCACACATATTGCCCTGGAACTTAGCTTCATATACCCCTGCAGGATTTATATTTCCCATTCTTTCTTTACTGAATTTCATAAAGGTATGAAATAAGTAATTCAGTAGATGTGCTCTTGGTTCCTGTTGAGACTGTATACCTGAAACTCCTAACTAACAAAGTTCTCCATGTTCTATTATTTAGATTTTAATGAAAATTAGATAACAAAACCTTAAGAAAAAGGAAAAAACTTTATTGAACTGACTGCATTTTTAAATTATTCTTCAGCACCACACAAAATAAAAATTCAGGTTTCAGAGTTTGAAAGCCCAGTTAGAAGCTCTATTTTTCTATTCTTTTTGGCTTTCAGCATCTAATACTTCTGTAAATCAGACAAAATTTATATTTCCCGTCTAATTTACAGGGTTGTTGTAAAGAAAAAAGATAACATTTGCAAAAGTGCTTTATAAACTAAAAGAGGATATGCAAACATAATAATGATTAGACTCCTATACTTGGTTTTCGAGAAAGCTTCACTGATTCATTCATGTATAGGATAATTTTCATCTGGATTCAGGGAATGAAGTTTTGATGGCAAACTTTTTCCATATAACACACGGGGGAAATGGCCATCGTGGGTTAGTTTTGCAGTTACAAGTCTGGATTCCTGGGTTACTCTTCTAAAGTTAGAGAGGAATTAATTTCTAGTTTTGGTGTGTTGCTTCTATCACCTGATGCTTTCAAGCTTATTGATTTAGTCCTGTTTGCTTTAAAATTTATGTTCTGGGAAAACCTCCATTTCCCAGGTTAGGCTTCCAAGTTGCAGGCACTATTCATCCAGCTCCCTGTCTCTTTATCTAATTGTGATTAATAAGAACAAAACATCTGTAACCATACACACATCCTTTATACTGAAATGACAATGAGTATAATTTTTCAGTACGTGACATATCATGCATATACCTTATCTCTGTACAACCTTAAGGATTCTTTAACATATATTTCATAGTTTTCCCTTACTAACATTGTGGTTTTCTTTACTAATGAGTGAACAGTTCTAACACATGAATTCGTAATTACATTGTCATTTATTTCAGTCCTATAGCATATACTGAATATAATATGCTTGAAAACACTTCAGTATTTCCTTTGTTCTTTCCAGTGCTAATATGAAATTTAACCATCCACTTCTATAAATTAAATTCACTAGGAAAACACATTTCAAAAATTATACAAGAATAAGCTAGAATTATCACAACATGGAAATGAACTCAAGAATTCAAACTATATTTCAGGAGCACTTTATCTTCATGGTAAACATTCACTTTATGCAAATCCCACTTGGCTTCATTTAATTAAAAAGCTGAAAAAGAAAGAAAATTGTATGCTGAAAATAAGGAAAACACAATATACTTTTTATTCACTCTAAAATAGTACATGTAAATAGCATATAAAAATGTCATAATTATATTCATCCCATTCTAATTTTTTATCAGGGCAATTTCTCTGAACTAGTTCTTGGAATGGGGTCAACACTTGTGAGAATAGGCCAGGGCTGGGAGAGGATGCTGATAAGAACTTGAACTAGCAGTGTTTAAGTTTGGGTAAAATACCCTATTTCTTTCTGTGAGCCACTTTCATTGTTGCTTAGAGCAGTAGTTAAACCAGCATTTAAACTGGTAATGTAAGTAAGAGGAACAAAGAGTGTAGGTTAAAACAAAGATTTGAAGTGGGTCATTTCAATGTCTTAAAAAGAATCTTCAATCTATAATTCATTCATTTACATAAAATAACTAAACGCTTGATGTTTTTTAATGAAATTTATAGCTGAAATATATTGTACAACCAAAAAGAATGTATTTATGAATTGAGTGTCATTAGATTCTGAGTACATAAATATCTGTACATAGATGCTTGTACAGATAGAAATAAGTAAAGGGGAGCTATTTTTTTTAACTTCCCTAAGCAAAGTTTTAATCTATGAACAGAAATATAAGTTGTAAGATGGTAAGTCAATTTAAATAACATTTACTAAGTTTCTGCTTGATATTTTTACCTTTTTTCTAACACGTGGCAAAGTTTTTTGTTTTTTGTCTTGACAATACAACTTTGCAGGACAACCAGAGACAAACCATGTTTTAACCAAATATTAAAACAAAAATGAAATTAATTGTTGCTATAGTGGGAAAGCCATGCAGTTGGAAAACTGTTTAGTTTCTTAAGTTTAACATCTGGATGTTTAAATCCTAATACCCTAGGAATATATTTCTTTGTCTTTCTGAACCTCGGTTTCCTCATTAGTGAAAAGAATGTTTGTTTGGTTGATCTCCAAAGTTCTTTACAGTGCTCGTATTTTATCAACCTAGTGACCCTAGTGACACTATGTGCTCAAACACATATTTAATAATACTTAAAATGTTATATAATATAAAATAAAAATAAATATAATACAAAATTATAAAATAAAAAGGCTATACAAACTAAAATAAGTACTCCATTTCTGAGGAATTATTAAAGGCTAGAAACCACGTACTGATCCCTCGATGCAATAAGACCTTGCTTCTATTTTTCAAAATAACTAGTTATGACTGCGATCCTGTAAGGGTAACCATCTTCATGAAGAAGAGTGTCAGCAGGGAAAGTTGCTCAGAGTGGTAAGCAGTGGCTGCTAGTCAATCCAAATAATCCCTAACACTGATGGCAGTGCGCAGAGATGTGTCCTTTGTAGATGAACTCTGGCATTTCCTGCCTTTAAGTTCCCCTAAAGATTAAAGGCTAAGTGAAGAATGAGGGTTAATGATGAAAAGAAAACTTGATCATAAAATACTTAAAGTTGAAAACATTATGACTTAAGAAAACTGAGAATTTGTAGGGTTTATTTTTTAACTGGTCTAAACATTTCCAGCTGTATGCATTAAAGATCACCTTTTATCACTGCTAAAAATACTATACCATAAAAGCAAAAACAGTAATGTGACCCTTATGATTATTTTATACTTCCTAACTTTAGAGCCCTAGAAAAGTCCAAAAGATTCTGATTTTTAGATGTTGTTAAATTCACAAAATAAAAGGATCTCTGTATCTTATTATTAAAATAAACGAAGAATCCTTAGTTACCACACTATTGGTTCACACTAGGGATTTTTCCCAAACTAAAATACTTATTTTTTCTAAAAAAAGCTGTTAAGACAATCTTTTGTTTACATTTTATTATGCAATGACAAATATGTATTTTATCTTGAACGCGATCCTATTGTCTTACAATAAAGGATAAGTTTAACAGACTACCTGTTCTTTTATATTTAAAATCTTTTTCATAAAAAGTTAAAAACTTACAAGTGTTTGTTCAAGACATTGGAAAGATCGAAGTGTGTCAAAAATGTTTGTTAAAATCTTTCTTAGAAAAGCATAAACTATTATTCTCTAGGTAATCATTCAGTATTAATATTAAACATCCAAGGTATATTCCAGTATGAGTGTTTTATATGGATTTCATCACTCGAGATTAGTCCCTCATTCCTATTTGTCAGTTTCTGACATGATTTTTTCTTTTCACATTTACCTGTCTAGTAATTTTGATGTATAATGTAACAGTTCTCCTATATTTATGTTTCTAATAGTGCTTGGATAGTATCTTTCCTAGTAATACTTATTGTAAAAATGTTTAAAAATACTTTTATAACATGGAAACTGTTGAATACCAAAAACCAAATATACTCCTCTTACTTGGAATGTATTTTTCAGTGTTGTGGTTGGGTTCTTCAGAGCGGGAGCAGCTGCCCTGGGTACCACCATCAACTTCTGTCTGGACTCCCCTCTACCCTCTGTCATGAATGATTCTCTTCACGGGTCATGGTAGTGTGTACATGTGTTAACACTGACTACTGTAGCTAGCTTAATTTGAAGTGACTGGTCAACTGACTCAAGCAGCAACAGAAGAGGGGAGGCTACATGGCAAGTCTAGAGACTTGTACACAGAAAGATGAGAGAGCAGACTAGAACCAGCATGAATATGCCCCAGAAACTCCCTCTTTTTCTAGCTTGAAGGGATGCAACTATTCCCTTCTGGTCTGTGTAATTTGATTACCGCTTGAAAGTACATCAGGGATGCAGACAGGCATTGTGTATACAAAGAAGGAATGGGATGAAGATCTCCAAAAACTTGCAAGTTTGGTTCTTTCCTAATTACTCCCTCATACTAACATTCAGGATTTACATAAAAATGTGGTCCTTGACTTGCAGAAAAGTGATGTTCCAAAAGTTTGTAGCAAGGTTATTATTTGAAATTCCAAGTAAGTGTTTCTAGAGAAACATTATTTAAAATGGTAATTATTTTCTCAAAGTTGAGGCAAAAAATGTCTGTCTCAATCAGTATTCAGCAAAGATTTATTGCCCATTTATTGTGTATAAGAATATTGTGTATAGAAGGGTATTGTAAGACATGTAATGACTAAAAGTCATGGCCATTAGGTTTCTTACCTAAAGGAGAGTAAGACCTGGACACAATTAAGTATAACACAGACATACTTGATATGATGGCAAGTCCAAGTGTTCCAGGAATTGAAAAACAAAGCAAAACTCTGACTTTGAAAACAAGTTAAATGAAAAGATAGTAGCCTAGGCTACAGGAATGAAGAAAGGTGCCAAAGAATGAAAATAACAGTGTGTTAGGTTCAGTATGGGGAGTATATTCAGTATGAGGAGTCCATACACTTTCTGTAAAAGGCCAGGAAGTGAATACACACTGTGGGCTGTAAGTCTCCGTTGAAACCACTCAACTAAGCTGTTGTAGAATGAGTAAAAACCTCTGGATTTGGTCACTGGGTGGTCACTGGAGACCCATATTATATGTAAAGCATGTTTATTCCTTTTTTCTTCCTGTGAAAAACCTAAGTAGGCATGAAATAATGGCTTGCATTTTGTTTTTACTTACCTTAAACTAATTATCTGTTGTTGGTGTTTAAAAAAAAACCAGTGTGTCCACAGTGCTCTTAAATGAATTCTGTCCAACTGGGAGCTGGTTAAATTCTCTGAGCTCTTCAGATGGACAGAATTTTCTTGTGTACTGAACTTCCTATTCTCTGACTGGGGAAGAGCCAGGGAGACCTAATGGTGACATGACACTCTGTCTTACAGAAATCATTCATATGATTAAGGGGCAGTTACTCAGATTTCATTCTGGTATTGAAAAGAAAGTGTGGAAGGGAGGAAAAGCCTCGCTTCTTTACTCAGAGCATGGATCGTCCACTGGTTGAACTGTTCAATTGGCCTTGCAGTTAGTGGAACTCAATGATTCACTGTTGTTAGGGTTTTCTTAACCTTTATTTTATATTCATAAATGTTCTAAGGGGATGCAAGAGAGAAGTACATTATGGCTGTTAGCCAGTCCTCCTTAGCCTGCTTCTCTGCTTCATAATAGAAGATTACTGAACCCAGAAAAATTTTCAAGTCTGAAGTCAGCAATCCAAAAAAAGGCCTAGAGAAATTGAAGGCTTCATGAGGAGAACAGAACACGATCTTTGGGATGGAAACCTTTCTAGATCTATGGTTACACAGGGCAACAACAGTTAAGTCTCACTACTGCTAAGGCCACTTCTCCACGCAGCCTAAACGGAGAGACTTAGTAACAGCTTTCATAGCATGGTTATTAATAATTAGGCATGATCAGGAAGGTGGATACTATGTCTGGGGGAAAAAGAATAATAAAGCTAGTGTGTGGAATAAGGTTGGGGGATAGGTGAAGAAGAAAAATGTCTTTTAGACCACAGGAGCTGCCTATGTTTTTACTGTTTTCAATCGGTTGCTGAATGGTGGAGCTTCTGTCAAAGTACAAAAGTTGCATTTTCAAGATGGAACTCACCCTCTAGGAGCTATTTTGTGCATGTCTGTTCAGACCGTGTGTTGTGAGGCTGGAGGGGTTGGAACAAGCAGTACAAAACGTAAAAGAAAAACAAAAAACAATTTTCTACAGAAATTATTTACTTTCATATAGAGGTTCCTACTACCTAGTTCTGAAATTACCAAGTGCTGATTAAAAATCTTAGGACATACTTAAAAGATTTGTATTTTGTCTTACTATCTTGGAAATTAAAATTTATACTGTTTGTTAGTGGAAAGAGAGACGTGACTACATTTGTCCTAGGCAGAATGAAATGTATTTTTGTCATTTGTTTTAGTTCTGCTTTCCTCCCTAAAGTTATAAGAGAGAAGTAACTAAATGAAATTATGTTTGGAGTGGAGCGCCTATGCATATATGGGAGTATTTTAAAAACCTACTGTTTGTCAAATGGTTAATTCCACGGGTCAAAGTCTATTGCAGACACCTGTACCTGAGGGCTTATCTCTACAGCGAAGTACAACAACCTAAGACTGGAATGTAGGGTCTCACAGTTAAAAGTTATCTTACATCTGTAAAACAATAGTTTGCTACAACTTGTCTTACATATGAGAGAAATATTATGGTCTTTATTTGAAAGATGAGGAAAACTGAGGCTCAGAGAAGATTAAAAGACTTGCCTGAGGTTATAGTTTTAAAGTGCCATGGTCCAAATCACATCTTCTCACTCAAAGTCCAGATCACTTTCCAATACACCACAGTGAAATACAACAATATGGAAAAAATAGTCCTTAAGATTCAATTTCCATTTGCAAAATATTATTACAAGATTTAGCACTGTATTCCTTATCTAGATAAGATAGGGGCCAGACAATGGTGCCTTTAGAGCATTCCAGCTCTTCTCCGAATCCTCTCTAAATCTTCGGTCCTTTATGTCATTCTTCAAAGCTGGAACTCAGCAGGAGAAAGACAATCCCAGTGAAATTCTTATCAGTGATAGGTATTGTGGGTTGCTCACCACATCATTTCAATATTATTTTTCTATTTCTACAGTTCAAGATTATATTTAATATTTTCTCTACAGATGAAAGATATACATGTAAGATATAGAAATGAATGTGAGATTGCTATATTGTATACCCTGGGATTTTTTATGCCTTGCTATGCTTGTTCACTATCATACTTTCCTCAAAATTCATATGAATATCTCTCATTTCTAGCTGTTATTCTGTACTTTCCATTAGTGAATGTCATTCCTTTTTTTTTTTTTTTTTTTTTTGTTATTCATTCTCTCTCAAAATAGCCAAGGACATCAGGAATTAAAAGTATTTTTTTTAAAGACAATAGAAGATAGTTTCTATGTCCATTATAAGCTTAATTAAAATATATTTTTATTATTTGATGCCAGCCAGCTAAGACTCAATCTGAGTTTGCAGTAAGTATCTTTGTAGCTCCAGTTTCTGGAATAATTATCTTTCCACACACCACACATCCCTTTAGGTGTGTGGAATAACCTGACCACCACACGAGGTGGAGTTGTACAATGTGGTAAACCAGTACTCTTCTTTTCACTGTTTCTATCTTAATGGTTCCTGTTGCATTTAGATAATAAAGAAAAAATGTTTTTGAGTTAAATAGTAAATTAATATGATGAGCACCTACTATGCGCACAGCACTTTGCAGATACAAAAAGGCATTTTCAAAGACTCTTCTCTAAAATATATCACGATATTACAGAATGAACATGACTTTAATATATAAAACGGTTATGTATGAATACTTAATGAACAATGTAATGAAGTAAAGTGCTGAACAAAAATGTAATGAAGATGCTGAAGTTGAAGGGCTTGTACAGGTTAAGAAGGAAGTGAAGATCCCCACTACATTTCAGGCATTACAAAGTGATCATGTAACTTATCCCCACAGAATTCTGAGTGAGGTCTTATACCAAGTTTACAAATGAAGAAAGAAGCTCAATAAAGTTAAATATTTTGGCAAAAGATAGAGAAATAATATGAGACAAACCTAACAACTGAGCCTGTCTCCAACCCCGTAAAAAAACTAAAGCATGATTTTCCAAATGAAGAAAAATGAGACCCAGAACTTAGTAACTAACTCCAAGTCCCAAAGTTAGTGGAGAGGATCTAAAATTCAAACAAAGATTTGTGTGAGTGTAGAGGTAGAGCTCTTAATTACAAAATTATATATTGAACTTGAACTCAGCTCTTCTGATTGTAAATATTATTTTTCCATTCTGCTACTCTATCTTGCTAAGACAACTAAAGAGTTTTATAAATAGGATGCAAAATGATAGAATAGAGAATGTTTTCTTTTCTTTTTTTTTTTTACTAAAGTAGAGACATGGGTCAGAAGTACTTTTATAGAAATTTTTTGAATTTTTGTAGGTCAAAGTGCATCAGTGGAAAAAAAAAATGGGAAATTACCCCTAAGTAAAGACTATCATGTATTGCTACTAACTCTTTGCTTTTCTTTGAAAATGGGATGCACCTAAAGTTAATCTTTATTTAATACACAAAATGAATGCAGTGCTACCACTGGAATAAATTTTTTTTTTTTGAACTATGGCTCAGATGGTAATTAGACCAAATTCTTTTTTTTTTTTTTTTTTAAGATTTTATTTATTTACGACAGAGAGAGACACAGCGAGAGAGGGAACACAAGCAGGGGGAGAGGGAGAGGGAGAAGCAGGCTTCCCGCTAAGCAGGGAGCCCGATGCGGGGCTCGATCCCAGGACCCTGAGATCATGACCTGAGCCGAAGGCAGACACTTAATGACTGAGCCACCCAGGCGCCCCTAGACCAAATTCTTAATAATGTTGATATTTCACTGGTAGTTTCAAGGGACTGAGGAGCCCAATTAAGTTCATCAAAAGGTACAGGGACAATCTGTTCTTCACTCAACTGAACCATGCAAATAGAAAAGTTACTTAATCTTCAGTGTAAAGAAAATCCTACTTAGAAAAATAAATTAAATATAAATGAGTTTGAAATATTTACATTTATCTGAATTAATGATAATAAGCAGCTAACATTTATTGAGTAATACTATGTGTTATTTACTAATACTTGGCAATGTGTTAAGTAACTTACATGCATTCTCTCATGTAATCCTTACAACAGTCAAATGAAGTATGTAATTTTTTTTTTTCCATTTACAAATGAGAAAATCAGTATTTAGAAGAATTAAGTAATTTGTCCAAGATCACACAGTAACAGATCACGAGGTGTTTTTGTTTTTGTTTTTGTTTTCAGGAATTTAAATCCAGCAAGTTTGCTTATTGAAACCTAACAGAATCTGGGAGAATTCAGTGATGGCGTGAAACCTATTGTTACTGTAGGAAAAGCACCCTTAAGCCTAAAATGTGGGAGAGATTTAAGGAAACAGGATAAATATTTCAAGCAGACACTTATCCCTTTAAATAGTTACAAAGATCAACAAAAATAACAGTGTGAAGTACTAAGAAAATATAATGAAGAACATAAATTTTAAGGTTTTGTGAGGCTTAAGATTAAAAGAAAAACAAAAATAAAACACATAAAGATCACCACACAGAAGAAATTAAAGGTTGTAGATTAAACAGAATTCAAAATTATGAGGAATAAAAAATTAGAACTATGTCCAGAACTATAACGTTTAAACTATCAGTAGTATTTCTTGATACAAAAGTTGTAACTCATAGAAATTTAAAAGGAAGAAATCGAAGGCCACAAAACGCTAAGGCATTACACCCAAGAAAGTACTTTGGCACTGGAGCTGGAGTCCCTGGCTACAGGTGATTTTTAAATTAGTATATGGTATTATGTTCAAATGTGCATTTTCACTACAGGATAGCTCAACACTTTTATCCAAAGTACAGGTATTAGCTAAAGCGGGCAGAAGTGGGAAGTTTTTCAATCTTTTTAAAGGAAAAAGTGTGTTTGTCTTTGTAGTTCATCTCAAAGTCAAGGATATGGTCTAGGACAAAACTATTCCTCCTTTCTTTTGCAAGCCTACTTCAGTGTATGTCTGCTGCAAATGATTGCATTAACTTAGCTCTTGGTCCCCAGGGTTAATAGTAGGGCCTCTCTGTGCAGACAGATACCCACAAATGTCTTTTCAGAAGTACTCAGGCCAGCACATGCCTTCTGGAATGTTTGCATGTTTTCCTTTCCTATAAAGATGGTGTCCTCTATATCATGCTCTTATTCCTTATAAACTGCCTTTATCTGAGATGAGCAAAGCTCATTTTTTTTTTCCTTCTTTTTTAATCAAGTACTCCAATGCTCATGCCACAGAAACACACTTCTGGGAATGCAAACTGAGAATGTGGTGCTACGTTACGTTCATAATTGACCAAGCTTCTCAAGCAGAATAATTCCGTGGGAAGAGAGATCTTTTTCTTTTTTAGCAACATCTCACATTTCCACTTCTCAGAATTATTTCTCTCTCCCACTCTTTTATTTATTAGCTCTCTCACTCTTGCTTGTGCTATCATCTTTACTTTTGCTCAGTGACTGATCTAAGTGAACTAGCTGTATAGATGTATACTTTCCCCCCCGTGCTGTCAGGTTTTTAGGATTTAGCTCAGGATTTATCCAAATCTCTGGCATGTAATCTCTGCAGACCTTTTAGCCACACTTGCTTTTGATGTTTATCATCTATTTATTACCACATTCACAAGACAACTGATTAAAATTTCTGAGAAAAAAATAAAAGATAATTCAAAAGGAAAATGATGCAGTGCAATTAAAAAAAAACAAAAAAAAAAACCAAGCAGGATCTACCACAACTAAGGTAACTTTAGCATAAATCCATGTGCTAGATTAATCAAGACAGAAAACTCTTCAAATGTAAAATTGGTATTTTGGGGGTGCATACTGATTCCCTTTACTATATTGTTAGTTCTGAGACATGCATTTATTTACATGTCATGGGAGGAAACATATATCCTATGTAAACCTGAGGAAGCCAAAGAATTTGAATGTGAATGATCGGATGGACAGACGAAACAAGAGAAAAAGAAATTTGATGAATTCCATAAAGCTAAAACCCACTGTATATATGTATAGAATGAAAACTATTTCATTCTAAAATGAAACTCTACTCTTCCTGTAAGGCCCCATGCCTTATAGCTCCTTGCAAAGTCTGAGCCGAAAGAATGGCAGGTGCTCAAAGACTTGCTTAACTGAGTTTAAAATCACTTGGCAAATGAGTTAGCTACTTTATATTAGCCTTTAAATATACATTAACCAATGAAATTGTTTATTAGTTAAAAACATTCACATTAGTATAATGATATTACCTATAAGGATAGCCGTGGTATTTGGAACGAAATATTGAAAGTAGAAAACTGAAGAAGAAGACCACCAGGCCTAATCCCACTAGGCAAATTACTAGAAAGAGACAGAAAATGCCATTAGTGTCTAGACACATGGAACCCAAATGCGTATGTTTTATAAATGCATTCAATTAGTAACAGTATACTTACATTTTAATAGTTCATGGCACATACAGGCACAACAAACCAGATAATCCAAAATACAATGTATTCATTATTTTCCACATTCTTCTCAATGAAAATGTACTATTTGGGGTATGAAAACAACAAAAGTGACCGATCTAAGTCTTCTGGTGCTTTTCTTCTCTTACAGAGTTCCTTCCTACAAGTACTAAAATGCCTCAGAGGGATCAAAACAAAACAAAATATGTGATAAACCACAAACAAGATTACCAGCCCCTGCCTTAGAAAGCGTTGGCTATATTAGCATAGACATTTGCATTCTTAGAATACTAATAAACAGACTTTTATTCTTTTCAGATGCCATGCAATATTTACAAAGAAATGTCATTTTAGATTATTGGTTAGACTATTGCTTCGGTAAAAGTCTGTTACTTAGAAATAGTCATCCTAGTGTACAAAAAGCTAGGAATAAAACCTTTGGGAGTGAAATAATATGGATTCTGGAGAGCCAAAGAGGGAAATCCACCCCCCAGAGTAGATAATTGTGTCAAAGGGCTGTTATTTCTTTTAACAAATGAACCAAAGGCTAATAGAGTAGAATGAGCTGTGGTCTAGGTTTTCAGTATCCCTTTATCCCAGCCAAGTTAACAAGAAGGAAAATACTTTTTTTGTTTTCTTTTCCTTTTTGTTATGGTTAGGAAGATTTTTTTTTTTTTAAGATTTTATTTATTTATTTGAGAGAGAGACAGAGAGAGAGCATGAGAGGGGGGAGGGTCGGGAGGGTCAGAGGGAGAAGCAGACTCTCTGCCGAGCAGGGAGCCCGATGCGGGACTCGATCCAGGGACTCCAGGATCATGACCTGAGCCGAAGGCAGTTGCTTAACCAACTGAGCCACTCAGGCACCCTGGTTAGGAAGATTTTATTCTAAAGTCAAAGAGTAATAAATATAATACATACGATGGAAATACGTATGCAAATATATAGAGTATATAAACAAGATTTATTAGTAAAATATATGCTTATAAAATTAAAATGCTTAAGAATCTGAGCCAATTAAATGTTGATATGTTTGGACTAAAAAAATAAATGTATTTAAAGAATTGAAATGAACTTAAATCTATGCCATAAGTAAGGAGAAAATAGAGTTAATTCTTAAGAAAAACCTTGTATACTTGTACAATACATGTATCCTTTCATTAGTTTCAGAGAATTCTTATAAAAATACTGAAAATATCTGAAATAATTAGAAAGAAGAGAACAGAAATGAAGGCACAGGAACACAAGGAAAAGTTAGCTCAATATACTTCCATAATGATGAAATACATTAAAAAAAAAATCCTTCTAGCAGGTCTGAGACCAGGTTTAATTACAATCCTGGAAATCAAGGAGTGGATAAGTTCTGACGCTGTCAAAAAATGGTCTAGGAATCTGTCAGTTTTCTTTCAGCTCTGTAGGAATATCATTCTTTCAGTTTTGAGTATAAATTGCTGGAAGTCATAAGTGCTTAACAACATTCAACTGTAGCCTCTGTGACATTCCATTTCAGACAAAGTTCATGCAGTTGAACTTCAAATGAATATTGGCAGAAGATAAAGTAAAAAGTAGGTTGCTGAATATCCCAAAATGAAAAACACCTTTTTAAAAATATGTAGACTATCCAAGTATGCCAGATACCAGGCACTGGATACAACAATGATAGCATCCCTTCTTACAACAACATTAAACCTAGAATTAATTACCTAATGCTTTATTTTACACCTTACCACATTTGGTATTTTTATCAAACACTTCATCCTTTCCTTTCTTGTTTTAAATTTTCAGAAGCTAAATAAAACACTTTTACTGCCTTTGCCACTTTGGTTGTGCTCAATGGGAACTGAAGCTCAAAGTACATGATCAAGTAAAACAATATATTTACTTGATTCTGTGCAGTGGAACAAAACAGTGCTGCTCAGTCCCTGTATATAGGGAAGGGAGCAGCAGAACCCAGTGAGCAGCAGGAAGGAGTTAAGTATGAATGGACCGTTGCAGCCCAGACAAGGTAACATACCTGTAAGAAAGTGCTGTGATGACACAGGATCATTCTGATCTGAGCAATAATAATCACAGTAGTTGTACTATATATCAGAAAGGGGTAACTGTAAAACATATTTCCCATGTCTCTTTCTTTCTCTCACACTACACATGAATAAATAATCTGACAGTGCTGAGCGTTGGAGTGATATGTAGAGAAACATCTACCAAGAGGGAAGCTGGGAGTAGTGATTTTGTAAACTCAGTATCACAGATGTTATAAGATAAAAAAAAAAATTATGTATTATTACTATTACTTAGTTTAATAAGACAGGATATATAGTAATCACATTAAGAATTTATCTTCATAAACACTGTCAATTGCAAGAGCATTACATTGTTCAAAAGATGTATCATAAAATGATATTCTGCACAATGCTTAACTGAAAGTAATGCATTAGATTCTTCTGTGGTTTCTTTACAATGGTGTAAAGACACCATCACGGGAAAACAAAGGACAGACTAAACTGTGTATTATATCCAAAATACTTTAACACTTAAGACAACTATTTAGAAATCACTATGATTTATTTATATACATGTCACCATAGCTAATACTTCCAAGAAGAAAATCAGTCTGGATTTTTATTTTAAACTTAATAAATCGTCTTTCTCAGACATCTACGCTGCTCACACATAAATTCTGAGTTTAAAAAGGTTCCAGAAATGCAAAGCATAGTAGGAAAAATTTTAATTATAGGTTTAATCATTAAATTACAGAGGAACTTGATAATAATAATAAAAAGGTTTGTGGCACGAAATTTTAAGGCCCTCTCTTCGTTCCTAACCTATGCTCCTAAGGACAGATTTTTCTCCTGTGTTCTTCCCTTGTCTTGTCAAAACCTATTACTTCATAAAAATGATTTTTTTTCCTACAATCCCCCCTCCCCCCCAAAAAAGGGAACAGTTCCATCAAAGGATAAGACATAGTTAACTTGCTTAGAACCATAATGCTGGAAATCCGTGGAGTTGTAAATCTTGGAATACCACTGGAAAAGGCAAAGAGCCTGGAAAAGACACTATCAACAGATAACTCCTTTTCAAATGTTGATCAAAAGAAGTCTGGAGGTATTCGGAAGGTATTATATTTCAGTGTACAAAACCTATCTGAAAACCGTGAGTCCTTGAATGTATACGTGATTCTTGTGGCATAAGGAACACAGCATCTGCCAATAAAATCTCCGAAGACTCTGGCCACAGAATTGTGTGTCTCCCTGTAGTGTGGACATTATTATGGAGACTACAGCTTCAGTAGACATGGGTCAGAGCACCCCTGGCAAGGGCTGACAGCTTGCCTTTATATGCAATTCCACAGAAAATCACCCAATCCCATTTTGGAAGAAATATATTTTTAAGTATTTGTACACTAACATCCAAGAAATAGAAAAAAGTAAAACAAAAACAAACTGCAACCTTTCTCATAACAGAACATTTCTTTAGAAATTTATGTTTATTAAGGATTTTTATATATTTCCCATTTTACTTAAATCTTAAAACAAAACTACAAAAATAGCAACACAGACTTACTCCGTCTTTTTCCAACATCTCCCTTGGATGTTGCTGCTTCATTTAGAAGAACCATCCCCATGGTGATAGCAGCATCTATAGTAGTTGTCAAGGAAACAGTAGAAATACATGCGAATAAAATCTATTAATTTTTCTGGACCTGAACACCATGTGTTCTGTTCCAGAATGGGTAGGTTACAACTGCACACAGAGCTAGCTATGATTTAACTCTCTCCATCTAACAAAAAATTACCATTCTTCGTGTGTTGCATATGCCTTAATTTTAAAAATAACATGAAACTGTGAGATTTTGAAGGTCTAACTCTAAATGTTAATTAAGTTCCACGACTTTCATTTTCTTAGCACATAGGAATTATATGGATTCCCATAATCAATTATATACCATTTCACATTATAGATGTAGATATATACTAGTTATAGTCACAGGGACAAATTTCATCAGCAATCATAGAAAATCACAATATATTTACTCCAGGGCTTGTGTGCATAGCTTTCTTTTTCTTGGCTTCTATTTCATGTGTTGTTTCACAGATTACCTTGTTTAAAGAAATATTTATTAAGGTCCGGTATTGTGTCACTTGGAAATTTTTGTTACCAATTACAAGTCTTACAAAAGCAATAAGCACGTTATAATAAAACGCTCTCACAAATTTAGCAGGATCTTAATTTAGTTAAATTGACATTTTAAGAATGAACACAAAATTCTGTACTTAATATGTCTGCTTGCAGCAGGATGAATATATTCATACCGTACTGAAAGATGCCAGAGATTAAGAAAATGATAGGAGCTTTTCACTTTTATTAGAACATTCTTTGCTATGTTATTAAAACAGGTTTGACAAGGACTATTGTTAAGATTTAAGAACTCATCAATTCTGGAAATATATTATGAATTCTGCCCAAATGACTAACAGATTGAAAAATGAAAACTAAAATAATTTTAGCCCAGAAATTCCTCAATTTGGTCAAATTTATTATGGTCTCCTTGTATTCATTTCTACTGCTATATATGTACAACCAGCATTCAGTAAGTCTGCTGTACAGGATATATCTAAGTGTCTTCTACTCCAAACAGTGAAAGCTACAAGAATATTATTTGACTATGTCTGTACAATTAAGTGGAGGAGGTCAGGGAAAATTCTGCAGAGTAAATATTTCCACTCTACTTTCATAACCATTATGTATCAAAATATTGATTAATAATTATAAAGTAATTGAGTCTTTCATGACCATATTATCCAACTTCGGGAAAACAATAAATACCTGACTTCTCCAGTTAGGCATTTATGCTTACAATAATCTCTCTCTATATGAATGGCTTTCAGTCTATTCTATTTAGCAATCCTTTATGGAACCCTTATTGGAGAAAACCAACCAGTCAACCTTGATGGGAAACCTGCTGCATACAAGAGAAAAGCCTCCATCAGCATTATGCAATACCAGACCCTCCCACTCCCCGTTCTCACACCAAGCCTAACATCCATATATACCATACACTACCAATGAACTTTTAGGGAACCATGATACATAGTTTGAGAACCATTGGAATTTGGGTAATTCTTGAGTTCCTTGAGTTTCAGTCATGTCTTGATGGCCTGAAAAGAGTAATGTAAGAGAACAAATATTTCATTTTACCAGTATGGTAGTCTGTGGACTTAAAGGATTCATTCTTAAAATGTTTTGGACAATCCACTGATAAAAATTCCTTTGAGCCTAGAGTCATAGGACTATGCTAATAATAAAGTGATGGAAAAAAAATTAAAAGTTCCTATCACTCAAACTGCTCATATGTAGGGAATTTCTATTGCTTAGTGGAGCTAAGCTACTGTGACTGTTTAGATCATTAATAAGGAGTTAACTTAGGTTTCCCTTTCATCTTTCTCTGGTTACATCTGTCCAAAATCCAGAAGTAACAAAGTTAAAACCATCACATCAATAAATAGTACCTAATAAAAGTTTATTGGGAGTGTAATAACAGTTTTTAAACTAGGGGTCCCCAAATTCAAGGACTAATATAAAACTCAGGGACATGAAGTTACAGAATGGCTTATTTTTTTTTAAAGATTTTATTTATTTATTTGACAGAGAGAGAGACAGTGAGAGGGGGAACACAAGCAGGAGGTGTGGGAGAGGGAGCAGCAGGCTTCCCGTGGAGCAGGGAGCCCAATCCGGGGCTCGATCCCAGGACCCTGGGATCATGACCTGAGCCGAAGGCAGACGCTTAACAACTGAGCCACCCAGGCGCCCCCAGAATGGCTTATAAAGTAAAAATGAAGAAGTTGTTGACCTTTACAGTGATTGGTTATTACAGTGGGGGTTTCCACACAGGGGACTGGTTACAAGTGATAGATCTCTCATGCCATTTTTAGGAAGATGACTTCAGTTTCTTTTATGATTATCAGAGACATTTAAAAGAAATATCCCAAGTTAAGTTTCACTTATATTCATGAAAAGGGCTAGATTTAGTTTTGTTCATGTGGCTTAAATGATTTTGTCTGCTAAGGGAATTCTTAAGTCTGGTTTCTATTTTGTAAGTCACCTTAACACCCTTTATTATATTCAGGTACAAATTTGAATCTACACATTTAAATATACACATTTGATCTGAAAACTGACACAGGATTCCAGATTAACTCTAACAAAATACGTTTTGCAAATATTCACAATATAAATGACATTTAAGATGATTTTATGTAGATATTATAAGTAAAATAAATATCACTCCAAATGCTTCTGAAATTCCACTAATAAAATCATGGGGAAAATGGAACTTTCTATTCCTGGGGAATAAGTTTTACAAAATTAAATGCTTAACAATTTTAATAAAAGTAAAGCCATATGTAAAAATATTTTCAGGATAAAATTTTATATATAAACACCCGTGTGCACATATATATGTGTGTGTTATAAACACACCTATTCACAGATACAATCTCAAGAAAAAGTATGCTTTATTAGGCAGAAGAATATTGGATATTAACTATGGTTACACAAGTATAACATATCTTTATTAAAAGATCCTCATACCATTTTTGACTACTTTTCCTCTGCAAATAGTTAAGTTACAATGTGAAAACTATGTGAATAACATGCTTCTTGTTGGAAATGTTTTTGAATTTCACGCAGATTCACTTTGTGACAGAATCATAGGATTTTCATAAGCATAATCACATTTTATTGCTTTATCTTACTGATGCACAATTGTTTCCAAATGTTTGCTATTATAAATATTCTTACAAGGTTATCTGTTTACATGTACATGTGCAATATTTTCTGTAAGATCTACACTTAGAAGCAGAGTTTTTTAGAGAGGGCATATGTGTACTATCAAATTTACTAAGGTACAGTCATATTGTATTTTTCCTATATTTCACCAATAGTTTTGCCGAACTATTGATTTTATCAAACTGATGAGTGACAATCTGTATTAAGATAATGAACTTTGGTAAGTTCATTCCTCTTTTTGTTTAACCTTTTGTATATTGCTCTTTTTTTTTTTTTTGCTCATTTCCCCGTAAGTCTTTTTTGTATTTTTTAAAATATTTTTTTAAAATATTTGTATTTATTTAATTTGTACGGTGCTTCCTTTTTCTGGATGCAAATTGATTCAAGTGTTGTATTTGGTTCTTCCTTTATGTGTTGTCTTATATATATGTATGTATGTGTTTAATACTAATAGCCAACATTTATTTACCCCAACTGTGTGCAGGCAACTGAGCTAAGCTCTGTGCATGGATTTCTCTCAGTAAGCCTTCTAACAGTGCTGTGAGGTGGGTACTGTTTTAGTCTGACTTATAAATTGGGATAATGAAAATTAGAGATCAATAACTGGCACAAGGTGTTCAGTAGTGCTGGAGCCAGAATTCAAACCAGGGCTATCTGAGCCACTGCCCATCTGCTCTTAACTACAACGCAAGAGAAGTCTCCTCTCCTTTTTTCTTTTTATATATTAAAACCTTAGTATGTTTGACATAAGACATTGTATAAATTTAAGGGGTACAACATATTAATTTGATATATATTGTAATTTGATTGCCATTGTAGTGATAATTATCACCTCTATCATTACATAATTATCCTTTTTTAAAAGTTGAAATAATTAAGTTCTAGACTCTTAACAAATTTGATTATAGTACAATATTGTTGTCTATATTCATTTCACTGTGCATTAATTCTCTATGGTTTATTTGCTACCCATTGTTAACTTTATACCCTTAGCTGTCTTATCACCCTTCCTACCATCCTGTGGTAACCACCATTTTACTGTTTTGACAAGTTTGGCTTTTTAAAATTCTGCATATAAGTGATACCATACAGTAGTTGTCTTTCTTTGACTGATCTCACTTAGCATAATGTGCTCAAATTCCATCCATATTGTTGCAAACAGCAAGACATCCTTTTTCATAGCTGAGCAATATTTGTGCATCAGTTTTTTTTTAACCCTTCATTTATCAACAGACACTTAGGTTGTATCCATATCTGGCTATTCTAAATAATGCTGCAGTAAACACAGAGGTGCATGGATGTATCTAAACTAGTGGTTTTGGACACATACCCAGAAGTGCAATTGCTGGATTATATGGTAGTTTTATTTTTAATTTTTGAGGAAACTCCAATCTGTTTTTCCATAGTGGCTGCACCAATTTACATTCCCATCTACAGAGCACAAGGATTCTCTTTTCTCTACAGCCTCACCAACATTTATTTCTTATCTTTTTGAGAACAGGCTTAAATTATAACAGAGTGAGGTGATATCTCATGGTGGTGTTGATTTGCATTTCCCTGATGATTAGTGATGTTGAGCGTCTTTTAATGTATCTGTTGGCATTTGCATGTCTTCTTTGGAAAAATGGCTATTTAGTTCCTCTGCCCATTTTTAAATCAGGTTGTGTTTTTGTAATTGAGTTGCATGAGTTCTTAATATATTTTGGATATTAACCCCTTATCTGATATATGGGGTTTGCAAAAATTTGCTTGCATTCTGTAGGTTGCTTTTTCATATTGTTGTTTCTTTGGCTTTGCAGAGCCTTTAAATCTGGTGTAGTCCCATTTTTTTCCATTGTTGTCATGTTTTT